TGCCTTGACTCGCATATGAACTTAAGTGACATCCCATTCTTAATCCATAGGGTTCAATATGACGTCGGTCCACCCTTCAACTCTTCTGGGAAGGCTTTGCACAAGGTTTAGGAGTGTGTTTATGGGGATTTTTGACCATTCTTCCAGAAGCGCATTTGTGAGGTCACACACTGATGTTGGACAAGAAGGCCTGGCTCTCAGTCTCCGCTCTAATTCATCCCAAAGGTGTTCTATCGGGTTGAGGTCAGGACTCTGTGCAGGCCAATCAAGTTCATCCACACCAAACTCTCTCATCCATGTCTTTATGGACCTTGCTTTGTGCACTGGTGCACAGTGATGTTGGAACAGGAAGGGGCCATCCCCAAACTGTTCCTACAAAGTTGGGAGCATGGAATCTCTTGGTATGCTGAAGCATTCAGAGTTCCTTTCACTGGAACTAAGGGGCCAAGCCCAGCTCCTGAAAAACAACCGCACACCATCCCCCCACCCCTTCAAACTTTACACCTGGCACAATGCAGTCAGACAAGTACCATTCTCCTGGCAACCACCAAACCCAGACTCGTCCATCAGATCGCCAGATGGTGAAGCGCGATTCGTCACTCCAGAGAACGCGTCTCCACTGCTCTAGAGTCCAGTGGTGGCGTGCTTTACACCACTGCATCCGACGCTTTGCATTGCACTTGGTGATGTATGGCTTGGATGCAGCTGCTTGGCCATGGAAACCCATTCCATGAAGCTCTCTACGCACTGTTCTTCAGCTAATCTGAAGGCCACATGAAGTTTGGAGGTCTGTAGTGACTGACTCTGCAGAAAGTTGGCGACCTCTGCGCACTATGCGCCTCAGCATCTGCTGACCCAGCTCCGTCATTTTACGTGGCCTACCACTTCGTGGCTGAGTTGCTGTCGTTCCCAATCGCTTCCACTTTGTTATAATACCACTGACAGTTGACTGTGGAATATTTAGGAGCGAGGAAATTTCACGACTGGACTTGTTGCACAGGTGGCATCCTATCACAGTACCACGCTGGAATTCACTGAGCTCCTGAGAGCGACTCATTCTTTCACAAATGTTTGTAGAAACAGTCTGCATGCCTTGGTGCTCTATTTTATACACCTGTGTCCATGGACGTGATTGGAACACCTGATTTCAATTATTTGGATGGGTGAGTGAATACTTTTGGCAATATAGTGTATATATATATATATATAGAGAGAGAGAGTATATATATATATATATATATATAAATATATATTCTGATTATGTTTAGTGATAATTCAACTGCAGCTAACTGTATCATCACATCTCATCTGTGCATCATTACTGTACCTGCGACATGCTGAGGCTTCATCGGGCCTGTCTTCATCAGGAAGGGCTCCCCCCCCTCGAACGCCAGGATGGGTTCGCTCACCAGCGCCCCCTGCTGCGGACTGGGGTTACTGCCATTGTTCAGCTGGATGATCTCCTCGAACTCTGCCGCTTCTCCGTTGGCTGAGACACCGTTCTGGTGAGGGGCGGGCTGGACTCCATTCACGACAGGATCAGGACCTGGTGACGGGCTGAGGACCGCTGCGCCCGGACTCTGCAGGTTTCCAGGCGCTGCAGAAAGATGAGTGACACATTAATGAGATTACAACTTGGACAATACCAACCATCCTCTCCACAACATCCTGGCAGGACAGAGAAGCAGCTACAGCAGCAAACGTCTCATCTCACTGCAGAACAGAGAGGTTCAGGAGATCCTTTGTTCCAACTGCCATCAGGCTATACAACAGCTCAGGCAAAGGAAGTGGACTAATCTAATTATTATTATTTCTTTATTAGTAACTGTAATTAATATTTTTATTATCAACAATGAGCTAATGGACACATGAATTTCCCCTATGGGATAAATAAAGTATCTATCTATCTATCTATCTGTCTATCTGTCTATCTATCTATCTATCTATCTATCTATCTATCTATCTATCCCTCCATTGTCACTTCTGAGGGAGACGCTTGTCATGGTGACGTGACATGTGACTGTACCTTTATTGACCTCTGTGTCTTTGCCGTTGACCTGTGGAGAGGCTTTGACTTCCTTCTGTGAGGATAAAGAACAAACTGTTACTTCAACAGGAAGTTTCTTCAGGCCTGTTTGAAATGAATCACACTGACCTTTTCTCCTGTGTCACTCCTTCGAGTCCTCTTCATGATCTCCTCCAGGCGCTGCGATCAGACAGAACAGAGCGTTAGCTGCTGATGGAGGAAGAGGAGGATGAACTGAGTGTGACATGTGTGAACTCTCACCCTCTTTCTCTCCAGTCGCTCCTGCTCTTCTTTCTGGAAGTGTTTCTCCCTCTCGATGCGCTGACGCTCCACCTCCTCTCGGGCTTTGGCCTCGGCTTCCTCCCTCTGGAAAAACAGAAATATGAAGCAAACACTGAAACTCGTCACATGGTTAAGTTTTGATTTCACCAAATGAGTCTCTGTTCAGAACCGAAAAAAGGGAGTTTCACTTGAGTTTAACTTAATTTAACTTAGTTGAACTTTGTTTAACTCTGTTACACACTGGGTGATGCGTCACACGCTATTATGTTGAAAGTGTCCTTGTATGGTAGCTTGGTGTGTGGAGTGTGTGAATGAATGCTTGAATCTATATAGATGGAGCCATTTACCTCCTGCAGTGTAAATGCCCTGTGACTGAAAACAAAGTATGAACCAGCAGGGGGCAGCACATGCTCAGTATGCTGCTCTGCAGCTTCAGGTTGATATTATAGGAGTGACTCATTACATCCTTCATTCAGACCCAGCACCAACAAAACAGAGTTAATACAAGGAAAACCAGAATAATGATGTGTTTAGATCACATCTGTCAAACGGCTGCAGCCTTTAAATCATTACACAGGTTATAACTCAGAGCACAGACTGATTAAACAGGCTGTTTCCATGGAGACTGAGATCTAAACAGTTGGACTGTTTCCATGGAGACTGAGATCTAAACAGTCAGAATGTTTCAATGGAGACTGAGTTAAAAAAATAGGAAGCCTCTCCAGTCTGGATCCAGTTTTGCCAACAGGGGGTGGGGGGGTGGTCTGATTGATAGCAGGATGTGGCGTTCATTGACGCTGCTGATGTGTCAGAGGAAACACACGCCGTCACTATCTCCCACATCACAATGGCTCCTACAGCCTCATCACCATGATGGAGGTCACAGCTGGCAATCCCCCCCCCTCTGATCTGCCCTGATCACTGACAGCCAGACCAGAGGCCTGATGTTTGGGCTCACGTACAGTGAAGCCCCCCCCCATCTGCTGAATGGGTTTGCTGCATGTGGATCACGGAGACCCGTGCTGATTAATGGATATTTACAGTTAACAGGAAGTGATGATGTCACTGATGATAGGATGATTCAGTGCCGGGTTGAGGGGTTTGATTCCCACTGGATTCTCAGCAGCGTGTTGATACAGTTTTCAATAGATTATCATTTAGTTGAAATCAACCTCCAGCAGGTTTTCAGGATGAATCTAACAGAAAGTGAATTTATTTAAAGGAGGAGTTTAGAGGCTCCTGGTTTCTGACCTGTCTCTGCAGCCGCTCGTTCTCCTCCTGCTCGGCCTTTGCTCTCTCCTGCGCCTCCTTCTCCTCCTCAGCTCTCTGGGCTTCGTCCCTCAGACGCTGCTGCTCGGCCATGAACCGAGCCTCCTCCTCTCTGTGCTTCCTCTCCTCAGCCTCCCGGGCCATGGCCTCCTCCCGCAGGAGCCTGAAGACATGTATATACAAAATGTTACACATGCAGTATGTTTCCTGACCTACTCATATTACCTGCAGTTTGTGGGTTTTAAACCTGAGAACGACCTCATACTTCACTACACTGTGACCCTTGTCCCACTGACTAGAGTAACAGGTCAGATGAACTTGAAAAAATTCATCTGGAAATTTGGCAGCAGAATTAATAAACGACAATAAAAAAGGTTCCAGTAAAAACTGAATTAAAATCATTCATCTGGTTTATTTATTTATTTCTGTTTAAATGGAGCCGTTTTTCATGGAAGTTCATCCTACGTTTATTCACTGACAGGTGTTAAAACTCTTTCCAGGAAACTTAAAAGAAATGATCAGAAAAAAAGGACGTGTGAAATCAAACATTAATAAATAAATAAATAATATCAATGAGGTAACTACCAGGATAAACCTGCAGTGTGACATTGAGAAGATGTTGTAGTGACTCACATAATATTGTGTTTCTGTTATTTCCTCAAATCTCTGTATTTCAATTTCACTGTTGAAACTATCTGACGCTGTTCACACACTTTGATGATATATGATCAATACTGATATTGATACAGATACAGACAGTGGGTCTGACCTGTTCCTGTGCTCCTGCTCCAGACGCTCCTGCTCCTCTCTCTCCCGCTGCTCTCGGGCTTGTCGACGTTTCTCTGCCAGGACTCGAGCCGCCTCCTCCGGGTCGTTGGTGCCTGCTGACGGTTTGCTGGGCAGTGCAGCCGGGGCGGTGGTGGAGGTGGAGGCAGCGGGTGTAGCAGCAGGAGCTGGATTACTGGAGGAGGCTGCTGCAGGAGCAACAGCTGAGCTCGTCACAGCAGGAGAAACAGCTGATACGAGGCTGAGGGAGGGAGGAGTCACCGGAGCAGAGGAAACCACGATGGCGGGAACGTTACTGGAGTCTATGAGACAGACGACATAGGAACCACAAGGTTTAAGACTGAGGTGACGAACCATCACCACTGACAAATAAATAACCAATAATCAATATTCAGTAAACTGTCCAGAGGCTGTCCCCAGAGGGTAGCAGTCAATACATTCACACACAACACTGTCGTCACACAATCATCGTCATGATCACCAACACAAGTTCACTGAAACAAAACAGACTAATTAATTAATTAGACTAACTAATTAATATGAAACTGTGGAGATGAGCTGGACACAGGTTTGATCATAAAGTCAGAGATTTAAAATAAATAAAAACTAAAACTGATGTTTCTTAAATTTATATCAGCATGTTGTGAAAAACTGATCTTTGTGCTTTTCACAATAAGAGTTGTGTAACAAGTTAATTAAAAACCTCCTTTTCTGTATCATTCATCAGTATATGTCATTAATATTATTAAACATTAATAAGCAGCATGGAAACATTTAATACATCAGTTATAACACATTATAATGTTGGTGTAAATGCTAAATAATTGAAAGGCGTATAAATAAAGTTTGACTGATTTATTTACTGAAATCTTTAATCAAATTAAGTATTATGTTTTCACTCTTATTTTTGATGAATCATTCATTCACAGTATTTATGTCTGCAGGAGCTCAGAGAGTCTGAAGCCTGACAGACAAAACCCAGGGCGCACACACACACACACACACACACACACACACACACACACATTGATGTGTGTGTGTGTGTGTCCAGGTCACCTTGAAGCTTGGATATTGTCTCCATAGCGACAACACTCACTCTTTTTCTCCTCTTGGGTGTCGGGCTGCTGGGGTTCGTGGCCTGTTTCCACGGTGACCGCAGTGACCGTCTGCGGCTGGACCCTGGCGGGCGTCTGGGCCCGTTTGGGTCGCGTCTTGGTGCCAGGGGGAGGGGTCCTCTTGCCTATCGCGGTCTTGGAGGCTGCTGCTGGCACCAGGGGGGACAGGGGCCGGCTTTTGGGGGCAGCCGGTGATGGAGGTCTGTTTCTGGGCTTCGGGGTGCTGAGGAGGAGAGAGGAGCAAATATGAGATTCACAGCAGTGCAGGAAAAGGTGACATAAAAGCCCGGAACTGGGTCATGTGGAATATGGATATGAATGACTCCACATCAGGACTCTCTGAAGGGGGGTGTAAGGTGGCATCAGTCAGGAAAACCCCGATCTGTATGCAGACTCTCCGAAACAGACTGAACAAGGTTCAGCAGAGTCTCTTTTAGATTATAGGACCATCTGTCAGACCTGAACCTGCTCCAAGGACACAGGAGCCCCCCCGCCCCCCCAGCGTCTCTGTTACATTAAGTCCAGAGTGTAGAATTTATTTAACATTTCTCATATTAAAAATACAGCTGACAGATTCATTAGTCACATGACTGGACAGTGTTTCCGGACCTAGTCTCTGGTCTGGATCTCGTGGTCGTAGTGACGGGTGTTGTTGTCTGTCTCTTCTTCTGGACCTTCTCTTTAGACAGAGCGCTCTTCTCCTTTTCATTCTCTCTCTCCTTGTCTTTCTTCTCTTTCTTCTTTTTATCCACCTTGAGGAAGGAAGTGACACATACAGTTATAACAGTTATAACAGTTATAACAGTTCTGACCTACACGTCAGTATCATCGGTTACTTTAAAACTGGAACGACAGTTTGTTTCTTTACACATGTTATTCAATAATTTCATTGTGAAATTAAAATTATTTCTAAAATCTAAAATCTAAAACAACAAACTGTAAAGACAAACTTATGTTTGACTGTAGATAACAGTTACATATCTACAGAGCAACATGATCATTGGTTATCACCAACTCCTGCAGGAAACATGTGGCTCCTCAGCTGCTGAACACTCCACTGACGTTTTACTGAAGCAAACAGTTGGTATGGAAATAAACGCTCCACTGTGTTCACAGTTATTAACTGTCTATCATTTGAATTATATTATTTATAATATTTAATACACTTTGGTTTTTAAATTCATCAGTAATCACTTTGGAAGAGATTACTACTAAAGTTTTGAGAAGATACACACTTTATCTGTCAAGAATCAATCACATTGTCACAATCATTTCATGGAAAAAGGTAAAAAATATTTTATTCCAACTTTATGAGCAACAGTGTAATTTTCAGGGTCAATGAATAATTAAAGATTAAAGAGGAAATGCATCAGAATCACTTCATTACTCCAGATGTTAAATATAAACGCTCTGAGAATGTCCATATGTTCTTTACAAATACTGTACATTAGTAAACACCTGACATCTTCGTCTTAAACCATTTATTAAGTGTTTATTCAAATATAATGAACGACGCCACAAAAGACCAACTTCAAAATGCTGAACTTCACAGTAGGTGTGTGTGTGTGTGTGTGTGTGTGTGTGTCCGTGGTGTATATGATGTCGTCATGGATACACTTTATTTTCACTCCCTACCGGTGTGGAGTTTCGCCGGCGCTGGCGCTGGGTGATGTCTGGCGTGCTGGCTGAGGAAACCCTCCAGCGCTCCGCGGCGTTCTGGTGCGGGTGGTGATGGGAGCAGGCGTTGAGCGGACTGGCGGAGGCTGAACGGGAGCAGTGGTGAGAGTCTGAGACACATAAACATGCAGAGAGGCGGTGGACCGAGGTCAGGCCCCGCCCACACAGACAGATACACCATGCATAGTGATGAAATTAACTAACCCTAACCTTATCACTGCTTTTATAAATATTCAGGTTTCTGACTCTTCAGATATATTCAGATATTCATATCTGAGAAGCTGTTGTCTGCATTTCTCACCACTTTCTGACATGTTTAGAATAAATGATAATCACCTGTATGATAATCATACAGATAATTGACAGATTAATCAATAATGGACAAAATCAATCCCACCACAAGGTCTGTTTCTGTGTTGGAAAACTGGACAAACTCAGATGGAGATCGTGTGGTTCTGAATGGACCTGAAGGTGAAGTCGTTTTCTGTCAGGCCTGAACATTGAACATCATCACAGGTTATAAATTAAAAGATCAATCAAAGAGATGGGTGGGGGTGGAGGGGTGGGGGTGGTGTGTCTCTCACACTCACGAGAGTCGCTGTTGTTGAGGAGAGTGGCGGCGCTGCGACTGCGGGCCAGGAAGGACAGAGTCGGCGTCATGAGCCTCTCCACGATCCGACTCTCCCACGGACTTAGACGCAGACTGCGGGCTGACACAAAAGGGCGCTGTCAGTGTTATTGTACACACACACACACACACACACACACACACACACACACACACACACACACACACACACACACACACACACACTCTGACTACAGTCTGGATTCATGTGCTGCTGAAAACATCATAAAAACCTGATTCAGGAAGTGGAGGTTAGAAACTCAGATGTTTCAGGTTCTGACAGAAACAAAGAAGAAAAAACTTTGTCTCTGTCAGAGGAAAATAAACGAACATGTTTCATATTCAGAAAGAAAATCCTTCAGAACTTCTAAAAGTCTTCTGGGTTAAAATGCAAAAACCGTACAGATCTTTCCATCAGCACCTGAATGCACCTTCAATTACACAAACACTTCTTACATCACTGCTGCTCTGGAAAACAAATGATCTCATTGGTTGCTTTGGTCAATCAGGAGGTGGAGCCAGTTTCAAATTTGATATTGAAAAATAAACAGTAATAATGCTCCTCTGAAAACACAGTCAGCCTCTTCAGAAAAAACAAGGAATAAATAACAAAATATAAAACGAGTTGAAATAATTAAACAGTCAAAATGGAGAGAACTCTTTGTAATTAATCTTTAAATTTGTGACATCCATGATTTACAAAGGCTAGCAGGCACGCTAACTAGCTTATATACAGTAGTAATTAACTTGCCATTAGCTAGTAGGACATTTTAATGTAGATTTGAGTTTTGTTTGTTATTGTTGTTGTTATAAAATCGTGACTGTAACTGTAATGAAAGGGCTGCCATAATAATCCCATATTACACAGGAAAACAGTGAGTCTGAACAACCGCAGTAAGTAAAGCAGGTCAACACTGAACAACTTTTTTTTTACTGTCTGTATTTGTTTTCACTTCCAAATATTTTTGACTAAATAACTCAATGATGAACTTTGTTAACTCAGTAAATTGGTTTAATAACAGATGTAACTGAGGTACATAGATAACAGTTTTTTAGCTCCAACCACTGAAATGTCATCCATCCAGTGAGATTATTAAACGTCTACAACATGTTTGTGTAAGTGATATTCCAGTCAGCGAATCAGAGACGATCAGACATCAGAGATGAAGATGAACGGCTGAACTTTAGCCCACATGTCACACACACACACATATAATAAAACACAAAGTTAATGTTCATAACTTACCACTGAAAAAACACATCACACAAACACCACAGTTCACTCAACTGAACCTCAGTCAAACCCAATGCAGTGAAAGGCCTTTCAGTTCAGGTGAGTTCAACATTAGTGCTGTTTGTCCCACAGGCAACACACACTCCTCTGACCTTCACACCATCTGATGTATGCTGCGTGTTATACTGAGCGTCATGTGATGAAGACTCAGCACATACGATGTCCAGCAGGAATTAACCCGATGCATTGTAATGATGGATGGAAGAACAACAACACACGCCAATAACTCATGAGCAAAGCAAACTTCATGTCAGAGTAATCTTTGAGACTTTGAACAGAAATCAGTCTGAAGATATTTGTCAGAAACTATAGTCGTCTGTGTATGAATTTTATAAAGCACAAGACAAATACTAGAAAACCCAGAGATGAAAGAGACAAAAAGAAAAGTCAGAGTGAGACCTCACACTCTGAGACTCTTCACAGAATAAATGAAGAGTGAGACCTCACACTCATAAAGAGGAACTCAGCTGAGTCTGAACGAGACAAACTGCTGCACTAACGAACGTTTCACCTGGAGAGAGTGAAGTCCATTTACTCAGCTTCTCTACCTAAATACAGTATCAGACACTTTACACTAATAATAAGCCCATTTATGGTATTTTATACTTCTGCTTTACTTCATGTCAGATTAAAATATTCTGCTTTTAACAGCTTTAGTTACTAGTTACATTGCAGATTTAGAATTTAATACAAAACATGATGATTTGTTTCTAAACTTTTAAACTCCATTTTCTATATAAAACTCAGTTGAACTTCAATGAGCTACAACATTAAATGTTTCTGAGACATAAACCCTTTAACATTCCTCCTTTATCTACTCTTAAAATCATTTTTATTATTATGTATGACAGTATCAGGTATATCCTAGCTCAATCTCTTCATTAAAACAAAATGATGTTAACTCTGAGTGAAATATTCAGACCCAGCAATATTCCTATTACCATATTAACATATTTATTTCTCTAAACTTCAGCCTGTCATGTTTCATGTCTTTGGAAACTTTGGGATCTAAAAAAACTTTGAAAAGCTGAACAATGTTTGGCTGCTGAGTTTGTTTCAACTGACCAACCAGATGACTGATTGATTTGATAATATAATATGAAATGATCTGATGATATAATATATAATAACATATCAGTGGCAGCAGCCATTCAACTGCATAACAAATCATTTTATTGTTGGTACTTTGAGAACATTTTTCTGGTAATTCTTCTGAACTTTGTTACAAGTAAAAGTCTTTTTTAAGTCAGAGTATTTAACACAGTTGTACTGATACTTTAACTACAGGGGACAGTTTGACATTGTGTTTAGCTTCTTGCCGAGTGAGACAGGACAAATGATCCCACTCTCACATCTGTCCAATCCACATGTTTCTGACTGAATAACATCTTGTAGGTTTTGTTGCCTTATTTTACTGCCACATCCTTTAAAAGGCTCCACAGTAAAATACAAAGAGACAAAAACAACAGAATAAACCATCAACACCAGATCTAATAGATCACGACAGGAAGTCCAGTTTGTGTGGACTTCCTGTCTCATCAGTTCAACAGACAACATGCTGACGACTTGAGCTTCTGTTCAATGCTCTGATGTGTCACAACATGAAACCTATAAACACTGATGACGACAGTGCAATCACAACAGAGCTGCCGAGACGACACCAGGGGCCAGACGCATAAAACTCTGTAGATTCATGACTAAAACTATGTGAATAAAATATTCATACACATTCTTCACATCACAATTATAAAGTCGTGCGTTCACATGTTTCCTCTTTATAAATCTCACTCACATGTGAACAAGCCTCATTTCCACTCCCACTATTCTCCATAAATGGATGAAGGCTCTCCCTTAATCAATCAGTTTGTATAAAAACAAGTGATCAGACACAGAGAAGAAAGACGAAGAAGAAGAATTTCACTGATTGTGACACTGAGGTAAAAACCTGCACCAGTTTACTTTATTACAATCACTCTAATGTAAAGTCCTGTTTTACCCTGAACTTCATTTACTGGGACTAGAGAATCTTAACAAGGCTCCAGAGGTTCTCACACTGATTGGTCAATATTAAAATAGTGTCGAGCAGTTACACAATGACTTACAATAAATAATAAGGACATGATACACAAACATAATTATTTATGTTTATGAAAGGTTAAATCATTATTGATGCTAAAACAGCAAAACCTATAATGATTAAGCTCCGTGAAGCTGGTTATTTTATTTTATTTTAGGGTTATTTTGTATTTTCACTGTAACTTGGATGGTCACATGGTCAGAGGAATGAGTGAGGTGTTTATAAAGACCAGACGCCTCGTTTTCTGCATCTGGTTCCTGGTGTGAGTTTCATTGTACTAACACTAGAAACAGACTGTCCTTTCTCATACAACAGCTCATGCAGTCACCTCTGCTGCACACTGGCTCTTTTTCACGACATGTTTTATGACTAACTGATAACCCGACTACCTCCCTCCTGTTGCTAGGCAACAGTGTTTTCCCTCCTCCTCTTCTCTCTCCAATGCGGCAAGAGGAGGCTGAGCTGCTGCCTGGTGATCGACTGTTCACCTGGAGATAGATTGATCTATCAACGTCAGCTCCCTCCTCCACACTGAGTGTTACACTGAGCATCTCCAGAGGCCACAGACACAGAAATATGATTCAGCTCCACATTGTCCTTTCATGTGTCCGCAGTTTCTGTGTTACTGATGATCGAGCAGGAAATCTGAGTCTCTCTGTGAGCCGAACTGCTGATTGCACTGTGGGTGTTTCAATCTATAATGACACGTGTTATGAGACGTGACGGATCTGAGATGAAGACAGAGCTGATTATGTCCATGTGGCAACTCAGGAGTCTGATGAAATGAGTTTGATATAACAGGTTCATTTAAATATTTAAATCTATGAATCTGTACTGCTGCCACCATAACCAGAAACCTGCTGCCCATTTTCATTTTACAGCATGAAAAATTTTCAATTTTAATTTTTTTAATTTTAAGTTTTTCACATTATAACAAGATATTTGTTGTTATTACTACTAACTAAATTATTCAGTTTTTACAAGAAACATTTTCATCAACTTAATAACATAATAAATAAAAACACATTTTCTTCCTACAAATAAAATGACAAATTCATAGAAAATAAAAGGCCCCATTGCTCCATTCAGTAACACTACACTAGTGCTACAGCCTCACTCAGTCTGGTATTACCAGTAGCTAATGATGGCTAACATTAGCAACCATCACATAATTATTGGTTGATAGTAACTACGATTAATGAGCCAGTTTTTACTGTTCTGCTACAATTTAGCATTCAGCATTATCTTGTATCATGTGACTGATGTTACAATTTCTCTTAAATACCTACGAAACTAATGACACCTGAGCTTCATGTTTCGTGCTAATTAGCAACTACTAAAAAACTGGACGTTAAACATTAGCCTATACCTGCTAAACATGAACTTGTTAGCCTGCTGGTGTTAGCATTCAGCTCAAACTCCACTGCTGCTAACATGACTGTAGACTTAGTCTTGTTTGTTATAACAACATATCAACTTATTTTATGATGAGAAACGTTGTGAAAAGTGTATGATTTAACAAGATAAAGTGAAATATTGTTATGACAAGAAAAGGTTCTTGCAGAATAATCTGAATAATCTGTACAATAATGTAGTAATAACAAGAAAATATATCATAACAACATGGACAGTATGTTGTTATAATGTAAAGTGGTTTGTGTTAGAATGAGACATTTTTCATGTTAAAACAAGAAACTGAGCAAATGACTTTTTGTCATGTTGTTAAATAACAAACCAAGGAAGAGAGACTTAATCTCTGCGTAAACATGCTAAAGATTTAAATAAGATAATACATAAAACCATATAATATCATCCATGTGCATTAATAGCAACTGAATACTGGGTTCATTTGCAACAGTCACACTAAAATATCCACCACCAGCACCACACCACACCACCGACAGTTAAGTGGAGGGGGAAGATGTGAACTTATAAACCTGAGAAACACATGAACCAAAAACAACATGTCATGTCACATATATGACTCAGTGATGTTGAGGTGAAAGGAGACTGATCAAAGATGCAGAGGAGACTTAAATCAATGACAACCACCAACTGAAATTAAAAACCACGATGCAAACGAGACCGATAGCGTGAGAAGAGTGGGGGAGTAAATGACCAGTCACCAAGCACAGGCAGGCAGGCAGGCCACCAGAGACCACAGTTATAATAATTATAACAGAAAAGATTAGGGGGGGGGGGGGGGGGGGGGTGAAGAGGAGAGGGAAGGGGGGAGGGAAGAGGAGGAAGCCTGGTGGACATTGACGTCGGGTCGTCCTTACTTCTGTTGGGGGAGTTCCAGAGCGTGGCAGAGGACTTGGACAGCCTGTTGTTAATGACAGGGTCCACCTGTCTCGGCAAGTTGACCGTGGAGGCCGAGCATCTGCCTGCACCAGAGAGAACGCAACACACAACAAGTGTTCACAAGGACCGCCTCCCCGGCCTGGACCTGGAGCTGAGCAGAGGCTCACCGTCCTCTGAGCTCATACTGGCTTCATTACAGTTTAGAGGGAGGTTCATTTGAATTGAGACAAGGGGGAGAGGGGGTGGAGCTCTGAGGAAAGCGTGGGAGGGGTGTGGTATAGTTAGACATCACATCTTTTTCTTTTGAATATCACACGCTTTCACACACATTCAGGATCTTCCACACTTTGACCTCAGCGTCACGGGTCCAAGAGAAGCCGCCGTCACATGTTAGACGCCAATAACAGGACAGTGTGAAGAGGGACATGATCTCACAGCTCTGTGGAAACACTGCTCACACCGCTGACGGCTCCTCTTCCTCTCACCACTTTGAAATGGTCAAAACTGGTTCTCAAAACCAATTTTTGCCCCAAAAACAGAAACATTCACTGAAGAATTAAAAGGTTTAACTTCATAAATTACAGTGTGGGTCATGTGACCCTGCTGCCCCGCCCTCATGACATCAAACCCATTTCCTTGAATTGCATCAGTTAGACCAGTGAGTCAGTCTGTGCAGCGTTGAGTTACAGTGAGGAGGTCACACATTCCTGTCATTGTATTTTCTCTCAGTGTCCTTGTGGTAGTGGTTCACATGAAACTCACTTTCTCTGCGGGAGGTCTGGTTGAGTCCGCCGGCCCAGGACCACCTCTGCTGGCGGATCTCGGCCCATGTCTTCTTTGTGGACCTCTTGATAGCTGCCTCGTATCTCTCCTGGAGAGACACAGTCACAACTGAGTCAGTGTTTATTATAAGCTTATTGATAACACGTGCATGATATCACATTAGCTTAGCTAAGCATAAAGCCTGGAAACAGGGGGAAACAGCTAGCCTGGCTCCTGAGACTTACTTTCAACTGTAAAAACCTCTAAACATGAAAACAGCACTTTCCTTTGATTACGCCGCTTTCTGATTCACTCCATGGATTTACTCAGCTGACCTGTGGCTGAAGTGTAATACAGTGCGCTCTGTATGTGCGCTTGTGTGTAGGAATACGGTAGTTCAGCAGTTAAAAAATGTAGTGCCAAAGGGAAGTGCTGTTTTCAGGAAGATAAAGAGCTGAAAATATTCTACATGAAGCTACATTTAAACAGATATTGGATTGTGTCGGTGGGCGTTTATAAAAGTATCTGAAACACGTTTTTTCTTGTGGCCCCGCCCACAGCAAGACGTCACTCTGCCACTCTGCCAGTGCCCTCATCGCCTTTCTAACTGGGAGCATACTGAACAGAATCTACTGCAGGTAATGTACAGAATATTCATGACTACAACCCCACGTCAAAAACCCAAACTATCCATTTAAGTATATTTCCTAAAATGTCAAACTATTGCTTGAACATTTACTTGAATGAAACAAACTGCATAGAAGGGAAATAGTTCTTTGTTAGATCTGCTTACACCTCAGGGGTCTGTGCAACAAATGACAAGAAGTCACAAGAAGACATTTCACTTGAAGAGGTCTCAGGCCAAAGAGGTTTTAAACCTCTGCTGCGATCAATAAATGTCAACTCCAACTCCAGCCAAAGAAAACTCTGCATTCACTACCCTTTGGAAACTTGGCATCACATCTGATATTCAAGATGGGACCGAATCCCTGTTGCACAGGCAGTTTTCCAGTGGTTAAAATTGTGCTAAGCATTAGGCTTGAATACACCTTGGCAAAGTGTTGAATTTCCACCCTGACTTCTACTAACACTGAATATTTTGGAGAGGCTGTGTGAATATTTGTTCATGGGCAAGATACCAACAATTTCACATTAAAATCACATTAGCTCAGTGTTAATAATTAGAAACCATAACTCATTCATGACAAACGTCACGCTTCGGTGTGTTTGCATTAAATGTGGTTGCACCTTGTTCTTCTCTAGTTTCTGTCTTTGCTTCTCCTCCAGAAGAGCTCGGCGTTTCTCCGCCTTCAGCCGCTGCTCCTCCAGCTTCCTCCTGCGCTCCTCAAGCTGACTCTCCCTCAGACGTCGGGCCTTCTCCTCCTTCTCCAGCCACTGGGCTTTCTTCGCCGCTGGGGGGTCACCACAGAAAGAGAAGTCGACATTTAGACAGAGAAGAGAAATTTTATCAAGCTTCGTTTAACCAGGTAATTCCCACTGAAGTTAGCAACCTTTCACGACCTGGTCAGGAAACATCTATACAAGTTTTATACAGGACAGCACAAATAAAAGAACCAAAGAACAAGAGGCAGGTGAAAGAACACAAAGAACAAAACAAATGTTATTATTAAGAAAGATAAAATGAGCAAAAATCAGAGACGATTAGTAAAGAAATCATTTGCCACATAAGGTTTCTGATGTTTGTCTGAGATATTTTCTTTCTTTCTTTAAAGTTTTCATGTTTGTAGCCTCATGGTGGCGCTAGAGTGAAATCTGAAACAACACCAAAGTCAACAGGATTCATCCTCTGGGGACCATAACTGACATTTGCTTTAGCCATGCAGCTAGCTGGCTAAACCATTAAACATAAGTTATCGAAAGGCACAATGAGCCAGTATTTGTGTAATGTAGTCATTAAAAAGTGACTTAGTGTTGAAAATATAATGTGCTTTCCCGAAGTTAATTATTCATATGTAAGTGAGGAATCATTCAGTGCTTCTGATAGACCTCAGCCACCATCCCCCAAACAGATGGAGGACTATGTGTTGATTTGTCCTGATAACAGTAAATAAGCAGAGGATTCCCAGTGTGTTTTACTGCAGCCTCCAGCAGATGCCAGTTTCCTTGCACATCCAAGCTGTGACAATTAAACAGCAATGAATCCTCTCACATTAAACAGCAGCTGTGTCGCTGTATATTATAGATTTACATTTTTCTTGTCACATTTAGATGAATTTGCTTCCACAACATATTTTTAAGAGTGAAAAGCTCAGTATGGAGAATGATGTGGGTGGTTACATGCTGGATCCAACCAAAGAGATGACATGAAATATCTCAGTATTATGTCATATGTATGTTAGACAGCATTAAAGCACGTCAGTGGATTGAGCTGTGAGGAAGCAGCAGTGAGGAAAAGACGTGTTTTGTATTTAGTACAGTTTTCTGCAGCTCATCTTCACTAATGAGCCAAAGAAGCTGTGAGGTACGAGCCTCATCGACAATGACAAAGCCTTTCTCACTCCTCCATAAATCCAATCTCTGAAAAAATCCAATTATGCCTGATTCTATTCAGCAGAATTGATAAAAATGTTGGGTTAATGCGTTTGAGTTTTACATTCTCATTTTTGCAGAGATTTACATTCTGCTGTTACACAACAACAAGGCTCAGTTCTTCACAATATGTTCGGATTTATTTAAAAACACATTCAGCATCATGTTTGTGACCTACATGCTGTGACGTGCATCCTGTTTTCAACAAACTGCTCAACATGAAAAGAACCTGAACATGGCACCATGCAATTACACACAGAAGCAGACTGCAGCAAACTGAACTGATCTCAGAGCTGAAGCTGAGGAAACCCTGAGAGGAAACCTGGTGCAGCATGGCCGCATTATTGATGCTAATGAAAGTAGTAATTAAATCTAATCTGTCTGAGAGGCCTGCTCTCAGTTCATGGTAATGACTGCTCATTTTTCACGCCAACTGCCTTGGGCTCCGAGGGACGTCTGCAGGGAAACGCCCACTAAATTCTGCTCTGATTGGCTGCCTCTGCTTTTGGCCTTTCGTCCACAGGGAGAAACCCTGTGTTTGAAAACTAGATATAGTCTTTCAAGACTTTGGGCTAGAAAAATATTTTCATAAGAAGAAGTTCTATTCTGCAGCCACAAAGTAAAACCATGATTATATGTGTGGGACGTGCAGCTGGAGGCAATGAAGGAAAGTCAAAACAAATTTAAACTTTACATCAGCAGAAACATTCAAGTGAAAAGTGAAACAGCTGAGAGTTCACAGGGTTCATGAGCTCCACCTGAACAATGACAGAAAAGCAAATAATCGATTCATGGAGGAAGAAGAAAGGGTGCAAGTGTTCGGGCCGGAGCAGCGGGAAATGAAGGAAATGGGTTTCCCATCACAAGTTTGATTATTCCCAAATGCCATGACGCTGCGAACGCTGAGGGTTTCAGTGAAGCCCTTACCTTGCAGCTGAGTTTGCTGTTCTGAGAGCCGTGCAAGGAGAAACAATAAGAGAGTCAGAGCAGAGAGTTGATACCAGGTTAAACAGAGAATAGAATAGAGGTTTGTGCATGTATCAAGTGAGTAACAATAAATTCATGCTTCATGCATCACAATCAAATTTTATGGAGGAAAATCTAATTTGTTGAAGGTTAAAAGAGAGATGTTTAATGTCTGTGTTTCATCATTTCCTACCGATGTATCTGGCCCTCTCCTCCCTTCGCTCCTTGGCAAGTTTCTGACGTTGCTCTGAGCTCATTGAATCTATAGGGAAAAAATACAAAGCTCTCAGTTATGACCACAGGGCATTATTACGATCATTATGATTGTATATCCCATCAGGCCTGGGAAAAAGTTAAGAGTTGTTCTCCAGCCAAATACAATGAGGATCAAACTGCCTCAACTCTTACTGGAAATATAAACCAACATTATCTGAGCTAATTGAGAAAATTACTCAATTATTAATTATAGGTATGAAATAGACACTTTTTAAATTAGAAAACATTCAGACTTAAGGACGTTTTAATTCAGAACCGAAGGATTCAATTCATTGATTCAGTTTCGAGGTCAAAGCAGCTCTGTCTCTTCCACACTACATGCGTATCTTTAACTGTGAGGTCCACCTAGTTTTCAGCTGTCCTCATCTGCAGTGACAGTCAGAGTCCTGGAGTTAACAGAAGGATGTGTGTCACTCATTCAGTCTTCAAACTGGCTGAAAAGCCACGACTGGAGACTAAAACCCAGGACCCCTGGGGGGCCTGCTGAGCCCGTCTCCTTTTGTGGTTCTTCTTGGCACTATGTAATATGTATGCCGCGTATTCTCAACCAATCGCAGAGGGCCCTGCAGCCCTTCCGTCTCCATGGCAACCTGAATTTCCTCTGTCTCTCCCTCCCCACCTTTGGGCCCTACACGGTTCTGGTCTGATATGCAGAGAAAAATAAATCTCACAAGCCTGGGGGGCCCAGGCCACCGATACGTCACTTAATGCACCGGTTCCCCACCCCCCAACCCCAGAACACCCCTACCCCTCCACTGTCAGTCTCCCTTCACACTATACAAATGACGATTTGGCTTTTGGCCACAACCATCTGTCTGCTACGAATGATTCAATCCAATGACCTCTGTTAGGACGAAGAGTAAAATTGTGAAAATTATTCATGAATCCAACTGAATCTAGACGTGGAGTGTAGATTTGTCTGCAAAGGTCAAAGTGAATTTGTTTTTCAGGGAAAGTTGGAGGCGGCAGTGGATCATTGGAGCAACTGAACGATTAACAGGAAGCAGATTTTAATCATAAAACAATAATAACACAGTCTGAAGCAGTTACAGACTGATACAGTCACATAGTCACACTATGCAGCTGTAAGAGAAAACGCTGACAAAAACTAAACTGAAATTAGAAGAATCGTAGAGGAAGTCCAATATTATATATTATGTATATATTGAGTTAGATTGTCTTACTTTTTGTTGTTGTGGATAAAGTTATATATATGTATATGTACAGTATATGTAGAGAAAGAGAGAGAGAGAGAGAGAGAGAGAATATGGAAATGTGATTGTTGGAGAAGTACTTCACTGGCCTCAATTATCCAAAAAAACATGAACTCACTGGTAAAAACCTGTGCTCACAAGCTTCCACCTTCTCACTCTGCTTTTATTCATTCATTCATTCATTTTCTACCGCTTATCCTCTAGTAGGGTCGCGGGGGGGCTGGAGCCTATCCCAGCATCCTTTCGGGCGAGAGGCGGGGTACACCCTGGACAGGTCGCCAGTCCATCGCAGGGCACACTCTGCTTTTATATGTTATATTATTATTATTATTATTATTATTATTATTTCTTTTATATGTTATGAAAACTGTTGGCTGTATGAATGACCGTAAACAGTGTTACAAACTGACTTCAGTGACTGACTGAAGCAAGTTTTCCATAGCTGAATCTGGCTGGATTCTGCACCAGAGTCAGACAGGAGACTCAGTGCTGCCTGTGGATATTACTCATGAGACGTATATAACAGATACTGAACGACAGAAACATCCGTAACTCTACCTTTCTTGGGCTGAGGGCTGCTGCTGCCACATGGGGTGGAGGGCCTGACGTCTGTCTTGGAGGAGGCATCTGTTTTGGTGGGGGTCTCGGTTTTGGGGCTGGAGTCTGTTTTAGGAGAGAGATCTGTGACGGCCGAGTCGTCTGGGGTCAGAAGGTCTTTGCCCAAAGACTTGTCTCCGTTCTGGATGGACTGAGACTCTGTCTGCAGGGGCAGAGCTGCAGGATGGAAAGAGAAGAAGACAGCAGGTTAATAAAGTAACAGAGATCATCCTGATGATCCATGAGTCCAGTTTGTTCTGTCGCTGCTGCTTTTTGTCTAATGTGAGACGTCTTCCTGTTGTGTGTTCACTATAAACCTACGGTGGCTTCATTAACACAATGCTCTTGCTTCATTAGAAATCATTAACATCTCTTTCATACACCTGCTGACTTGTGGACGCTACACTTCCCCCTGTGTCCCTAAAGGTCCTACAGAGAAAAGGCCTCCTGTCAACAGAGTCAAACACACCAGCAGCAGGGGAGATGAACGTCTTGGGAATAAAACAGCGAGGAAATAAAATGGCGTGTAGCCAAAGCAGCAGATTAGCAGTAAAATGAAAAGGATGGAGAAGCTCAGATACACATTGAAAGGGGAAGATGAAAACATGGAGATTGTGTAAAACTTTCTTCCCTAAAAAGAAGAAATACTTACATAGTGATTATCACGGGAATAATTAACGCTAGATTTGCTTAATTATCCCAACGGAGCCAAATGATCTGTAAATTCACTGACTTCACCGTCGGGCACAAAATGTTCCACATGAGGATTTTATAAGATTGTGGGTGAGTGTTAAAAATGTCTCTCTGACTCAACATCACCACTTGTTTAGATAAATGTTTTTAACCAATGAAAAGTTTCAGAATTAAATATTTGTTAAATTAATTTTTACAAGTACATTTCCTGGTTCCAGCTCCTCCACAGTTTGATCATTTTTGGACCTTGAACTCTGGGAAACTGGTTTTGGACCTTGGACTCTGGACTTTGTGAAACTGGTTTTGGACTCTGGGAAACTGGTCTGAGTCATTTCACAGTTATTGACTTTTCACAGACTGAACAGTTAAAATGGTGTCTAAGGCGTTTCAGTATTGTATTTACAGAGTATAAAGATATCCTGAACTTTAATCCACAGTTTGGATCAAGATCCAAAGAAATACATGTAAAATTGGTGGTGAAGCCCTGACCCTACTCAGTAAGTTGAGAAAATTAATAATTAACCGAATTATTAAAAAAGAAAATACTCATTAGTTGCAGTCCTCGATTTAACATCATGTTTTCTGCAACATTTTAAAAACTTCCTTACATGAGCACCATTAATGTCTCCACCCAGATCCAGTCATGAGGCCAGACTTCCTGACCTGTGACCTTTACGAAGGGTGACAAAGAGAGAGAAAAGCCACAGAACACATCCTGTTTTAATCCCCGCTGATACCGTTCCTCTGCTCAGCTGCTGCTCGTCCGAGTCTTTCCTCCCTTCAACGTCACGCTGGAGACATTGATGACAAACTGTATAGAGCTGCAGTGACGCGAAGAGGGAGGACAGGGAGCGAGAAGGAGCAGGAAGGAAGAGAAATTCTTCTACAAGGACATGAGAGATTTACAGAGAAAGGAGAGCTGGAGGACAATGAGAGAGCAGAATGGTGCAGTGCTGTTTTTGTAATGACAGGAGAAAAAAAGGATTTAAGAAGACAAAAAGAGATAAAGACTGAAACACAGAGGCACAGAGCTGGAGAAATAATGAGCTGGGAGCTCAGAGAGACTGGGGGAGGAAAGTGAGAGGCTCCTCTCCACTCAGCCAACAATGGGCAGATGGAGTGAGACGCTCAGACCCGTCCAAACGCTCACCGAATCACAAAAATCACAGATTAACACTGGGCTCCTCTCCAACTGCCCCCACTGTACTTTAACACAGAGCTTAATGGCAGCACAGGCTGCACTACAGAATACTAATGGAGGAATAATAGGATGTGTTTGGATAAGAGAGAAACTTGAAGAAAAAGATCATCATCAAAAAGATCATGTTCAGACAGGACGGAACTACCTGATGCTGAAAAAAGGATTAGGATTTGGCACAGAGAGGACGGCAGGGCTCGTCCTCACTGGAGGAGATTACTTGTTCACAAGTGTGGCTGACTATCTGAATCTGATCAGTTTACCAGCCTTGTATGGCTGAAAGAGAAACGGTAAGAGACCAAAAGAAGGAACGATCATGATGACTAAGATCAGCTGAGTTCCTAGACTCACAGTATTGTAGCTAAAAGACGGACAAGTCAAGTCAAGCACATTAACAAGTGGTGCTGAAACACTGCCACCAGAACAAAACATTACACACATCAGACGAAGTAAATCTAGAGACGAGACAACAATCAGAGTTTGTTTTCATTCTGTGGTTTGAATGTTTCCTATCATCATTGGTTGATTATGGGACAAATGCAATTTCCATGTTTATAGGGAGGAATACATTGAACCTTGTAAAAAAAGACTCACTGTCTTACTTTAAGTAGAAAGTGTCCAACACTTACAGAAGAAGATGATTGTTAGAGACACTCCTTTCTCTCTTGCTCTTCCATTATGTATCTCCCAAATATCTATATATTGCACTTTGTGCTCTGGACTGTGTCTGGTTCATTGTAATGTTGTAATTTTAATGCCGTTAAACCAATAAGTGCCGGAACGAAAAACTAGGAAACTAGAAACAATGTCAGAGGACCAGATCCCTCATGTGAGTCTGGTTTATGTTGCACAGTTCACTCAAACTAGTTATTACCAAGAGTGCAGTGTGGGTATGGGGGTTGTGTGCAGCACTTGAATAAATGAGCTGTGTTAAAGCAAAACTACAGTTCAAACATTTGAAAGAAGAAACTGAATATTCTTGTCTCACAAATGAACGTTTAATTCATGAGCAATAAAATGCAGCTTTGCTCAATTCAATAAACTCTACTGCTTCACTCTAACTTGGTCTGATGTGACCTGCAGCTTCAGACAAACCTCAGATAGATTCTGCTGAGTAACTAGTGTTACTGAGGCTCTTCATCTTGTGACTCTTTGGACCGATCCCAATGTCCACCCTCACAGACTCTGAGGCGCGTTCCTAGTGAGTCCATGAGGGTAAAACCATCAGGCCCATGAGGGCTCTCTAGCAGACACTTTGGGCCCTTTAAGACACACTTTCTTTAAGTTACCATGATTACCAGTGGAAGTGTTAAACATAAGGAATAAGTCAGAAGAAGAACAATGAACAAACATGTCAGTACAGACACTTTGCTCGCTGGTGATTCAGAGACTGAACTGTGTGTAGTTATCTGTCCTATGATGACATGATGATAAATTGCAAATCTGCTTTCATCAGATCTGATCCAACATTATTATTTTAGTTACAAACAAGGAGCAAAGGGAGGAAATTAAAAAAAGTCAAAATAAAAAGTTCCAAACACACGTGATCTGTCACAAACTGCTGGGAAGTTGGGATTGGTTCTTTTATTAGGACTCACTTCTTTATATGCTATTAATCTACAGACACTATGTGTGTATTAGCATTCAGCGTCTTTTAATTGCCTTTTTCTGGCTACAGCAGCTGCTGTTCAGCAATAGCTGCATAGTTTGACTTTATGTGGTTGACAGAAATGGGTTGAAATCATGAATGCACAACATGAAAAGAAATATTACACTAAAGATGATTCACTAAATCTTTCTGATGGATCTGAAATGTATTCATTCATCTAGATTAAAGTTTTACCAACACACACACACACACACACACACACACACACACACACACACACACACACACACACACACACACACACACACACACACACACAGCTCATGGAAGAAAGGAAGTTACAGTAAAACCCTTCGTATTCAACTGAAAGAATGTGCATCAAAAACTCCTTCTCACAGCCATAACTCAGCCAGATCTACACATACAGATATGATACTCATCTTTGTAGATTCAGTGTGACTTACACTTTCCCTGGATATTATCATGTCCACTGTCCATCATTAAAAAACAACAATAAATTTACTTAGAATTTATCAAAAGGAGATGCTCCCTACAGATTCAGGAGTGAAAATCCTCATGTTTTCTTCACTGTCGCAGTAATCCACTGATACATGTCTGTCCATGAGAACATTGTGAAGAGTCACTGCTGAGAGTGAATTTGACTGTAAATGGTGCTAAAAAATGCAGGACAAAAGAAATGGGGCTCAAGTTGTAACAGCATACAGCTAATTGAATCCATGACAACATGACTGTACACTTCCTGTTTACATAACTGACATGTCCCACTGACAATAAGTGCATCTTATACCAACAGCTGAGCTACATTCTAGTTGAATCATAATTATAATATGGGATAATACCTTCATTGAAATGTGTGGCTTTCACATTAATGGTCATGTTTCAAATATAACAACAATAAAGATGACTCACAGGCAGACTATACGGCAACGGACACTGGAACGGACATGACTATGACACGGATATGCGACTCAGTGAAGGATAGGGGCACGGACCTATTCTCTAGGACTAGAACTGGGCAGAATAGTTCTCAGGGTGACGTGAGCGTAGCTGGAGAGAATAAAAATGTTAGGCTAGAGGGAAACAAGCTCCAGATTTGTCCTTGTGGCTGGCAGAAAGTAACATCAGTTAGAGGCCTTAGAATGCATCAGGGAAGAAAGAGATGTGTTGCAAAGGAAAGGCAGTGTGGCCGCATCGATCGATACTTTTTAAGAAGTAAATCGAATAAGTCGAATGAAGTCCAGCGACAGGTAGAAAACCACAGTTCGAAGGATATCAATAACAGAGCTACAGAGGGGAAAGAGGAGACGACAAGAGGGGATGCAGCTGAGACTGAGGTGAATAGGCCAGTCAGAGAGAGAAATATGGAGCAGAAAACTAGAGTTAAATGGCCGAGGGCAAATAGCAAGAAAGAATGGGAGTCAGTCAATAGAGATTTGTCAGTAATTTTAAGCAGACTAGGAGGAAATGCAAGCGATAGACTAGAGAAGATGGGGGATAATCTAGGGAAAAAGCTCAGGTATGGGTAGAGCACAGCCTAATCCGGCAGCGGAGAGTTTAGCTTAAAAAGGCATCTCTCCTTGACTCTACCTCCCTCATTCAAAATGTCCGCCACTTTCTCCAACTGGTTAGGGGAGTTTGTTTGCTGAATCTGCTGGT